GTGTGCCTGGCTGTGTCTGAGGCGGGTGTAGACATGGAGGCTGCTCTGGTCCTGGCTGCGGCTGAGGTGGGTGCAGAAGCAAAGGCTGTGGTGTTCTCAATGGTTTTCATAGTTGTTGAAGAGTTCGAGGTTGTGCTGGAGGTAGTGTTGGTATTTACTGTGATATAAGAGAAGGTTTTTTTTTTCTCTAAATATAATCATGACCAATAACCATGTAGATTGAACATAATTGCTTTCTGCTTCCTGCTTTGTCAAATTCATTGCATGGCTGATTTTATTCAGTACTCTGACTGCTCTATGGACACAGTTATTAATAATTATCTAATGAGGAATTAGAAATATTCATGTTTGCCTGCTGCCTGTGGATGGTGGAAGAGTGTGTTGTGTCCCCTAAAGCTGGAATTACAGATGGTTACTGGCCACTTTCTGGGTTCTGTGGGAGAACAGCCAGTGCTCTAAACTACTAAGACATCTCTCCAGCACCATGAAAACAAATCCAAGTTTCATTTTAAAAAATTATAAATGAATTACAGGGGCCGGTTGTGGTGGCGCACGCCGGTAGGATTTGCTGAAGGAGGCAGAGGCAAGAGGATCACGAGTTTGAGGCCAGCCTGGGCTACACATTTGGGAGGAGGGGAGGGAGAGGGAGAAGGGATTGACATCTGAAGCAAGCTTGTTCCTAATTTGAACTAATAAAATAAAATAAAAAGAATGAATTACAGGGGTTGCACCTTAGTGGTGTTTGCCAAGCATGGGCAAAACCATGTGTTTGAGCCTCAACACGGATGTACACACACACACTCACACACACACACACACACACACACACACACACACACACACACACACACACGAGACAGAGTTTTACCAGGTAACGGGATAAAAGCTATATATGTGTAAATAGATATGTAACATATTCTGTGGCTGTTATAACACACCTCAAGGAGAGCAATCTTCCAAGAGGGAGGATTTATTCACAATCCCAGGTTATGGTCCCGCCTCGCAGGCGGCCAAGGATGACCCAAGTAGACACAGCATGTGAAAGGGGTGGATTTGACTGGGAGCGTTTTGAAGCATAAAAATAAAATAAATGAATCAAAATTATAGTCTGGATGTGGGCTTGGAGAGATGTGGGCTCCGTGGTTAAGCAGCATTTGCTGCTTTCAGGGGACCCAAGTTTGGTTCCCAGCATAGATCAGGCAGCTCCCAGCTTCCTCTAACTCCAGTTCCCGGGAGTCCAATGCCCGCCCTGCTCCGCTCAGCACCCTATGCACATGGTGCGTGGGTATGTGTGTCGGCAAAATGCCCGCCAGATAAAGTAAACTGCCGTTGGCAGGGTTTGATTTTCAAAATGGTAAGTTCCCCCAGGAACCGCACTCCCTCTTCTGGGGAGGCAGACCAGGTTGTGTTAATTGATATCAGAACTGTGGCATGAAGTAAAAGTTGAGTCAGTGTCTCACTCTGTACCAGGTTGTCTTCAAACTCACTCATGGTCCTCCTGCCTCAACCTCCTGTGTGCTGGGATAACAGGCCCCCAGGCCTAAAAGCCTGTTCTGGGGGGTTTCTCACACACTGCAGTAGCCCGGCCTTCATCTTAACATCTGAAGCTTCCTGGAAGTCCAGTGAGGACCAAATACCTGCTGGGATCTCTTGCTTCTGCTCTTTTGTAGAACCCAGAAGGCTTTTCCCACCTACTGGAGACAGTGATTCCTGCACTACCTTCTCACAGAGAGAGCCTTGAATTTTATGTTCACAGTTGCCTTTGTAATTAGTTTGCCAATAACGCAGTTATTATCTTCTGGTCACTTCTCATTTTCAGATAGAGTCTTGCTATGTAGCCCTGGCTGGCTGCTGAGACCTCAGGCAAAAGGAACCACATGCAGCTCTACTTGTTTGATTTTTATCTTGTTATTATTTGTGTGTGTGTGGTGTGGTGTGATGTGTGTGTGTGTGTGTGTGTGTGTGTGTGTGTGGTGTGTGTGTGTGTATGGTGTGTGTGGTGTGAGTGTGGTGTGTGTGTGTATGGTGGGTGTGGTGTGTAGTATGTGTGAGTGTGGTGTGTGTGGTGTGTGTATGTGTGTGTGTGTGTATGTGTGTGTGTGTGTATGTGTGTGTGTGTGTATGTGTGTGTGTGTGTATGTGTGTGTGTGTGTATGTGTGTGTGTGTGTATGTGTGTGTGTGTGTGTGGGGTATGTGCATATGTGTGTGTGTGTGTGTGTGTGTGTGGTGTGTGTGCTGAGTTTCAAACTTAGGGCCTCCCATATGCCTATACAAGCACTCTACCCAGGAGCTTTCTTCTTTATTCTGTGCTATGTTATTTCAAGATAGGTTCTCACCACTTTGACCAGCCTGCTGTTGAATGTGCTCCACAGCCCAGATAAGTCTTGCCATCTTCCCACCCCAGCCCCACCAGTAGCTGGAATTACAGGCCTGGCCACCGGCCCCAGCTTGGTGTTTGGAATCTGTTCTTGCTCTGAGGATGACTTAGGCTGATGTGGAATCAGAATTACAGACAGGAGGGAAATTCATTTTCAAGAATATGAAAAACTGGCGGTGGGTTGGGGTGGGGGTGGTGGTGCACACCTTTAATCCCAGCACTCGAGAGGCAGAGGCAGACAGATATCTGTGAGTTCGAGAGCAGTCTAGTCTACAGAGTGAGTGCCAGGATAGGCTCCAAAGCTACAGAGAAACCGTCTCGAAGAAAAAAAAAAAAAAAAAAAAAAGAATGTGAAAAAATGACATTAAAAAATAGTCAACTCAGCTAGAGAGATGGCTGTTTGCTCTTCCTGAGGACCCAGGTTCAGTTCCCTGTGCCCACACGGCAGCTCACGGCTGTCTATCACTCCAATTCCAGGGGTTCAGATACCCTCATACAGAATATATCCAGGCAAAACACCAGCACACATTACATAAATAAACATTTAAAAAAAACAGTTAACTCTTCTTACTATTTAAACACTGACGCACACCACACAGGTTATCACCCTTTCACAGGCAGTGTGAGACCAGAGCACACAGTGTAGCCACTGGGCCCTGGGTGGTGACCACCATGCCCCAGAAGAGATGAAGTGATGGGTCTCTCTCCTGGGGAGAACCAGAGGCTGTCACAGCCTCTCCCACCTCCTCAGAGGCTCCCAGGCCATCCACATCTAGACAAAACCACTCACCATGCCCTAAAAGCAGCAGCTGCATAAGCAGCCAGCACCAGAATTTGCTTCCCTTCTGCATCGTCATCTGCCTCCCTGTGGCCGGCAAAGACACCTGGGTCCCAAATGTGGCCCAAGTTCTAGAAAGCTCTTGAGGAAGGAAGAGATGAAGATGAGCTCCCAATAGTCCTGTTCTTCTAAGGGCTTTGTTCCTGGGGAGAGGGTGGCTGGATGCCTGAGCTGTTAAGTTTCCTCGGCGCCAGGTTGTCTCCTCTTTCTCATCACTGAAGGGCTCCTGCCACCTTTATAGATTCCTGTGGGCCAGGGAGAGGCTGGGCACCTATCCTGACAGACAGCCAAGCATGAGCACCTAAGGAAACAGTACTGAGCCTGGGAAGGCAGCGGCCCAAGGGTCACAGGGATGGCACAAAAGAGTGACACCATCACACTGGGCTGGGTTGAAACAGGAAGAGAAAAAGGAGCTCAAGAGTGTCAGAGAGAAGGGACCCACCCCTGTGGCACGGATGGGGTCAGAAACCCGTTCTAGCTCAAGGTTTTGTTTCCTGGTCAAGAAATTCTGTGGTTTGGCTTGAGCAGAGAGGAAGCCCCAAGAATCTCAGCTGAAGGGTAGGACCCTATTGACTCCAAAGGGAGCAGTCAGCAGGGAGCTGGGCTCCTGGATTGCAGGTGTGGACAGCCATTGTTAGTGAACCCTTCTTTGGGGTCCTCTCTTTGTCCATTTTCTGCTGTAACATAGTGCCTGTCCTAGTTTGGTTTCTGTTGCTTTGACAAAAGCACTCTGACCAAAAGCAACCTGGGGAGGAGATTTATTTATTTGGCTCACACTTCCAGGACGTAGTCTACCACTGGAGAAAGTCAGAGTAGGGACTCAGTGAGGAGCTTGAAGCAGAAGCCGTGGAGAAAGGCTGCCCTCCTGTCTCGCTCTCTGGCTCCCTTGCCAGCCCACGCTCAGCTAGCTCTTATACAGGGAAGGCTCACCTGCCTAGGGATGCTGTTGCCCACAGTGGGCCGGACCCTCCCGCACCAATTAATAATCAAGATGGTTTCCTACAGACATGCCCACAGGTCAGTGTATTCTAGGCAATTTCTCCATCCAGACATCTCTCAGATGATGCTAGGCTGTCAAGTTGGCAATTACAGTCAGTCAGGACAATGGCTGAAGCTAAATACTTTATTAAAAAAAAAAAAGGTTGATTTTGCTCATACTTTAGGAGGTGCAAAGTCCAAGATTGAGCAGCCCCACTGCTCGTCTGAGGTAAAGGCTCTGTTACAACACTCTGGTCGATGCCATGGTGGATCAGGTCATGGCAGAAGCCGGTGTGAGTGGAACAGATCACTTGGCCAGATATGAAGAAAGGGTTTGTAGGAACATACTAGGTTCTCTGATAACACCCTGCTCTCTCCAGAGCAAGAAAGCCCACCCCCATCATGAGAAAGGTATTGACCCCCCCCCCAAAAAATGCCAATTACCTCCCCCTAGGGCCCACTTCTTGAAGCTTAACCGTGGGTGTGCCCCTCCCTCCAATATGCTTTTCTTCTTATGAAAGGCTTCTCTCAGCAGTATTCAGCAGGGCGAGGCACAGGCCCTGCCTTGGAAGACCAAGTCTAACGGAAGGAGACTTAGACAGTCTGAGTTCTAGATAGGAGTGTGGAGTTTGGTCTAGACGCTTGGACGCTGCCAGCAGAGAGTACATGCACATGGTCAGCTAAGTGAGTGTGACTGGGTAGATCCGGATCCAAATGAGCAGAGGGTTTGGGGAGCATGTGGGAGGGGCACCGTGTGCTACTGGTCTGTCAGCTTGACTGCCTTTCACCCTCCTGGGAGAGTGGAGGTGCTTCATTCGAGAGCACATGCTCCTGACAGTCTGCTGGCAGGTGAATAAGCCCTACTGTGAGGAAGCTGGCAGTTAACTGGAGGATTCTGAGACAGGAAGGGATGTGGCTGGCTGGGAAAGGCCCAGAAGCGGCTCTCCATTGTGGCTGTGATGGGCCTCTCCTGAGACTAAGAACCTTCGGTGACAAGTGAGGTTCTAGGCTTCCTGCAACTCTGCAGTTGAAAAATTGATGGCTTGCCAGCCCAATGCAGACTTAGCCGGAGGGAAGGATCTCAGATGCAAATTCAGAGTCTAAACTGTGCCGTGAGTACTGATCAGAATCTAAAAGTAACTAACCTGTGCTCACAACAGGGAACTTGGAACAATTCGATAATTTTCATGACTCATCTCCTTGGTCACACCTGAATGCCATAAGTACGTTCATTCTGTCTTTTGAGATCTGTGAGTTTGTTTGCTTCCTGAGATTGCCTGTTTGTGTCTGAGTGGTGCCTGGGGTAGAACCCTGAGTCTTCTGCATGTCACGCAGAGCTCTACGCCACCACACTACATGGAGATGCAAGGGAAGCCAGGAATACAACTTGAGCAACCTTACTGGGTGTGATAACACATGCCTGGGAAATACCAGGACTCGGGAGGCAGAGGCAGAAGAATTCAGGCTTCAAAACCAGCCTCCACTACATAGCAAGTTCAGAGCCAACCCAGGTTACATGAAACCCTGTCTCAGTACACATCTAACCCACCTCTCAAAAACAAACAAAAAAACCCCAAACAAAAGATGGCCAGGGATGTTTGTGGGTAGCTCTGAAGCCACCACACACATTTTAAACCCATTTACTTTATGGCCGACATTTAACATTTCTAACATCGAAAGTCTTTGTGGACTTGGACATGCTTTATTTTGTGTTCGTTTGCATTGAAGATTTCTGATGCCGTGTGGATTTCTCTTACAGCATTACCTGTAGATGTTATCTGAAGGCCAAGCTGAAGCAATGACCTTTCTCAGAGAAGGCACATAATTTCCCCAAGCATACACAGGCATGGGTGTTTGAAGATTCTTTACGTTGGGTTATAAAACAGAGGTCTTTAGCCGGGAGGTGGTGGCACACACCTTTAGTCCCTGCACTTGGAAGGCAGGAGGCAGGAGGCAGGAGGCAGGAGGCAGGAGACAGGAGACAGGTGGATCTCTGTGAGTTCGAGGCCAGCCTGGTCTACAGAGCTACACAGAGAAACTCTGTCTTGAAAAAAAAAAAATAAGACTGAGGTCTTTTCAGGTGTATGACCCCAGCTGGAGGTCACTTTAGATACTGTTGTGTTTCCTGTTGGTTTCTCAAGGTGTACATTCCTTTCCCTTCCCTGTGCCGTGGGTTGTATTTCCTTCGAGGAAAGATGAGTTTCGTTTTACTTTGTGTTCTCAGGGAGGGTTCCTGATTTAAATGAGGGACTACTGGACAGGCCACCTGGACTGGTCCCACTAAGGTAGAAATACCTTGAACTCAAATTCCGTGGCTTCTTCTTACTTCCTGGTTCTTCAGTTTCCTCCTATGTCAAGCGAGGTGTTTTTGGCTTATCTAGGGTCATGTCACATAGCCCAGGCTGCCCACAAACTCTTGTGATCTGGCTGCAGCCTCCCGAGTGATGGCTTTATAGGTGTGCACCACCGTGGTTGGCTCATTGTTTTTTGTGGGTTTTTTTTTTAAAGGTTTATTTATTTTATGTATGATTGCTCTATCTATGTGACATCTTTGTGCCAGAAGAGGGCACCAGATCTCATTGCAGGTGGTTGTGAGGCACCACGTGGGTGCTGGGAATTGGACTCCGGTGCTCTTAACCACGGAGCCATCTCTCCAGCCCCTGGCTTCTCTTGTTTTTTAATTTTAGCACTGCTTACTTTCCGGTCAATTCAACAACTCCCTGTAGAAGATTTGCTGGCCCATCTCTTTTCCTTCCAGATATTTTCAGTGAGGACCCCTGGGCCATTATAGAGTGTTGCAGTTTCATTCTGTTGCTTTGATAAAACACCCTGACCAAAAGCAACCTAGACAGGAAAGGGTTTATGATGTTTACAGTTCCCAGTTACAGCCCATCACTGAAGGAAGTCGAGGCAGGGAACGAAAGATAGCTCTATGCTATACTGTACAATATTGAAGGAACTGTGTCTCACAGTCTAGAGTTGCCATTGACCCCCTAAAGCACAGCCCTGTTCCATTGTAAATTTATTGAAACTTCATCCTAGAACCAGCAAGATGGCTCAGTGGGTAAAGGTGCCTGCTGTCTAGCCGGAGAACATGAGAGATATGCCCAGGTGAGAGGCATTCGGAGCTGTTGAGATTGTTGCGTGGGGCCCCTTCCAGGATCATGGAAACAGTGGTGGTCATGTCAGGTGTTCTGATTTCTGTGGAAGACACTGCCACTGTCTAGGGTCTCTAGTGGAAGTGGTCGCAGAGCCTGAGCTGGAAGCCAAGGTGGACACAGAACCTGCAGAAGAGGAATTGACAGGCTCAGAAATGGTGAGGGACCCTATGGTGGCTTCAGGAAGTGTGCCTGAGGCCCTCATTGGTGCAGACATTGTGGTGGACAATATGACAACCTGGGAGGTTGAAATGGAAGCCGTTGTGGTCTCAGAGAGAGTGGTGGAGGCGTGGTATGTTATTATGGAGATTGTGGGAGGTAAGGATACTGTGACAGCAAGCAAGGTAATCGAGGGTGGGGCTTGGGTCGTTTCAGAGCTCAAGGGAAGGAGGGGTGGCCAGGATCTGTGGATGCTCAGCACTGAAGATGAGTAGTTTTTGTGCATTTGGCTTGACTGTGGGAGAGAAACCGTCTACCCCACCCGTGAGTAGGGCAGAAACTGACCTAGTAGATCTCACGATGGGAGAAGGGAATCCGGAACTACAGTAGCTCCTCTGTTTCCACAGAAGAAATCCAAGTCCACCCACCAGGCAGAGCTCAGGAGAAGGGGGGACTGCCAACCGATGAATTGGAGCCTAGGCTCTGGCCTCTGCCCTCTGTGTCTTAGGCACTCAAAGCTCCTGCAGTGACCCTTAGGAGGCACAAGGACACAGGCGTGCAGAAAAGGGGGTATTCCCCCCAGACCTGCTCATTACGTAATTACACTTCCTGTGGGTCCAACCTGGAGCTCATTAAAGGACTTCCCTGCGGTTTCAGAGTAATAATTAGTGAGGAGAGACTTGAGCCCCAGGGGAACTGTGACCAGCTGGATGCTAAGGCTCTAGGGGAAATAATTATTATTATTAGCATCTAGATGGGAGGAATCCAGCTCAGAGACTGGGGCTCAGCTGTTCAGCATCCCAGGAGCCCTGGGTCACTCACTGTGTGGGGACAGCTCTGTTAAGTCACATCTGCCCAGACAACCAGAAACCACACACCCTTCTCTTCTTCCTGGAGATCCTGCCTGTGATAGGCTTCAACAAGGAGCTTAGTCTGGGGTCCTTCTGCACCCCCCCAGGTATCCTTTTTCTGAAGCCCAGCTGCCAACTGCCCCCAGCAGAGCCTGTCCCCTCCATGGGACATCTAGAGAGACCATCCATCCAGAAGCAGCATGGATAGTTCAGGACCATCCATGTCAGGGCCGGGATTCTGACCTTGGAGGAGCTTCCTAATACCTAGAAATGTGGAAATGAAAAGTGGCAATACTGACCTGTGACCCTGCTGCCTGGTTAGGGTTGGAGTCTGGCTGGAAGGCCTGTGGTACACTGAGTGCCTGTCAGCCACCTTTCTCCAGGATCGGCAGATGTCAAGGCTATGCAGGTGATGGGCAGGTTCTGTGGGACTTATGGTTTTTAGTGTTCCTGCATTTCTGTCTCAGGCAGGAACCTTGTCATATATGTCTTTATATCAACAAACTATAGATGTTGGATGTTTAGAAATGCTGCTTCTGGGGCTGGAGAGAGGGCTCAACAGCTAAGAGCAAGCACTGCACTCACAGAGGCCTGAGTTTGGTTCTCAACACCCGTACTGGGTAGTTCACAACCTCCTGTTAATAACTCCATGGCCAGGAGAATCTTCTGCCCTCTTCTGGCCTCTAAGGGTAACTACACATGGGCCCAGGCACACACACACACACACACACACACACACACACACACACACACACACACAGAATCTAAAAATTAAAAATAAATCAATCAATAAATAAAACCTTTCTTATCAATACTGAATTCCCACCCCTCTCCCTTTGTCACCGTGCAGATAAATACACAATGAATTGAACTGAGCTTTTACCTAAGCCCAGAAATGGCCATTTTAGAAACAATAGAAATTCTGTCTCCTCTCTCTGGCCCATCAAAGAACTCCCGTCCTGCCCTACAACCTCTCCTGCCCAGGGTCACCCATAAGTTCACTGAACCAGGGTGTCAGTTCTATTCCCCTGAGAGTCCACGGAGTCTGCAGTCTGAACCTTACAAATGCGTTCGGCTTTATTACGGAAGTCCAGCAGAGGGCGCTATCCTCTTTCTACTGCGCCCGGCCCCGTCAGTACCAGGTAAAAGGATGGGATAAGTTGGAAAGAAGATCCCCAAAGCAAAGTCAGAGTGCGGTGGGAGACTGAGGAGAGGGTCGCGCTGCGGGAGAAGATGCTGACTCTGCAAGAGGAAGCCAGCGCCAACTTTTGGTGACTGGTGCGGGAATCCAATTGCGGAGTGGATGCATCACCAGGGAAGGTTGGGGCGAGGCGGGTGGGTAAGACTGCAGGCAAGCACAAACCCCTCTGTGTGTAGCCACCCACAAACAGAAAATCCACCGCAGACATCCAGGATAACCAAGGGACTCACAAGGAGCGGGGAAGAACCGCGGGGAGGAGGAGTTTTGTGGTCTTTGCAGGGTTGGGTGGGGGTCTCTCTCTCTCTCTCTCTCTCTCTCTCTCTCTCTCTCTCTCCAAGCAATGGAGAGGATGGGAAAGAAAACACTTCGATCTTTCTTTATTCTCGAGTCCTTTTTTAATTAAAAAAATAAGATCTAGTATTCTGGGAGTTCAGAAGAGTGTGCACCTTAAGTGGGGGTGGACAGAATTACTATAAATTAGTTTTAAAACCCGAGCCGTTGCCCCCCATTCCTCGTGCCTCCCAGGGTTCTCCTTCACTCTGGGGTGTTGTCTTCTGAGGTGCTCATGCCTCATGTGGCCACGCCTCTCAGAACTCAGAGTCCTGTCCTGGTCCCGCCCCCGCTGTCCATTAAACGCCTTGGCCTTGTTCTCACAGCACCAGTTCTGCTGACAGTGCTTGCGTTATTCACTCTTTCTTCCCTTTCCTCCAAATGCACACTGCCACCCTTACCACCTGGCTCCTCAACTAGTCAGTTAAGAAAACGTGGCCGACGAGGGTTGCAGCTGTTATCTGCCAATTTTTGCTGCCCTTTCTAAGTCCAGGAAGTTGGAGTCCTAAGTCGAATTCATCTTCCAGGAAAGGGGCGAAGCCTGGAAGAGTTGGAGACGAAGGTCTCAAGGTCACGGAGGGGAAGGGATCTGGTTTGGTTTCAGGTTCTGCTGCTCCATCAGGTAGACGGGGTAGGAATTGCGGCCCCCTCTGTCCTCGGGGTCGGAATCCTCAGAGTTCTGGGCCAGTACGCGGCGTGTTCTTGATGTGCAGGCGACCTGAGATGACAGAAAATACGATCACCACCCTTGATCTCATCAACCACCCTTGGGGCTTTTCTCTCTTTTCCTGAACCTTTTGCCTGTCCTTAGTCCATATCCCAGACTTGGATCCACTAGAGTCCCATATTCCACCCACAACCCGGCCCCTGCCCTATCCATCTGGTCCTTATATCCCAAACCTCACGCCCAAGCACATTCTCTCTCACATACCCCCTTCCATTTCGGCCACAGCCCTCTCTTCCGACCGTTCCTGTGGTTTTCCAGATTTGCTGGTTTTCTACTGTTCTCACATTCCACCCCAGCTCTAACTCTCTACCTCTGACCCGTCATCTCTCCTCGTCTCTGTCACCCCCATCCCCACCCGCCCCACTGCCCTTACCAAAACGATCAGGCCAATGCAAATCAGTAGGACAATCACCGCCAAGAGGGTCACAGTAACTATGGCCCATGCAGGGAATGAATTGCTCTCCCTGCTGGCCCCAGCAGCGTGGAGGCTTCCAGGTGAGCTGTGGCTGTTCTGCTGGGGGTGGTGAGCTCCTGAAGTGATGAATCCCAGGTCTGTTCTAGTTGTCACAGGGCTAAGGAGTTCCCCGTGTGTGGTCTCAGTTTTATGGAAATGAGGAGAGAGAGCAGTAGACTTGTCCTCTGTGGCCCTGACTGGAGGTCTGGTGGTTGTGAAGACTGCTACTGTTTTCCCTGGGTTTCCTATAGCTGTTACAGTCTTAGTGGCCGGTGTGGTTTTCCTCCAGAATAGTGTGGGACTTTCTGAGACTTGTGTGGCTTCCTGGGTGATTGGTGTGGCCTCTTCTGTGTGTTCTGTAGACTTTGCTGAGACTTGTGTTGTCTTTACATCAGCTGGTGTGGTATCATGTTCTATAGGCGTCACTTGGGCTCCCGTGGTCCTCTCACTGACTGATGGAGGCTCTCCTTCAGACTGAGTGGCTGTTGCTTGGGACCTGGTGGGCCTCTCACTGACTGATGGAGGCTCTCCTTCAGACTGAGTGGCTGGTGGTTGGGGCCTGGTGGTCCTCTCACTGGCTGATGGAGGCGCTCTTTCAGACTGAGTGGCTGTTGCTTGGGACCTGGTGGGCCTCTCACTGACTGATGGAGGCTCTCCTTCAGACTGAGTGGCTGGTGGTTGGGGCCTGGTGGTCCTCTCACTGGCTGATGGAGGCGCTCTTTCAGACTGAGTGGCTGTTGCTTGGGACCTGGTGGGCCTCTCACTGACTGATGGAGGCTCTCCTTCAGACTGAGTGGCTGGTGGTTGGGGCCTGGTGGTCCTCTCACTGGCTGATGGAGGCGCTCTTTCAGACTGAGTGGCTGTTGCTTGGGACCTGGTGGGCCTCTCACTGACTGATGGAGGCTCTCCTTCAGACTGAGTGGCTGGTGGTTGGGGCCTGGTGGTCCTCTCACTGGCTGATGGAGGCGCTCTTTCAGACTGAGTGGCTGTTGCTTGGGACCTGGTGGGCCTCTCACTGACTGATGGAGGCTCTCCTTCAGACTGAGTGGCTGGTGGTTGGGGCCTGGTGGTCCTCTCACTGGCTGATGGAGGCGCTCTTTCAGACTGAGTGGCTGTTGCTTGGGACCTGGTGGTCCTCTCATTGGTTGATATATTCTCTCCCTCATGATCTGCCAGAGTCACTTGGGTTCCTATGGTCTTGTCACTGGCTGATGTGGTCTCTTTGGTGTGTTCTGTAGTCATTTGGGCAGGCTTGTCTGTGGCAAAGGGAGTCCTGTGATCTTCAGCTCCTGTGGTTGCCGGGGTCCTTGGAGTCCTGTATGAGGTCCTTGGAGCTTCTGATGAGTTTCCTGAGGAAGGTGTGGTTTTTCTACTGAGCGCTGAGTCATGGGAAGGAGTTGTGGATTTGTGTGAGGTGGTCCTTCGCCTAGTGCTGGTATCCGTATGCCTCACTGGTGTACCCGAGTTCCTCGTTACTCTGGTTTTGCTTGTTGTGGACTTACAAGTTGTCCTTCTCCTGGGTGCTGAGGTTGAATGGCTTCTCTCTGATGCTTTTGTGGGGTCATTGGCTGAGCGTCCATTCCGGTCTTTTCTTTGGCTGCTGGCATTCTTTTCCATAGGGGGAGTCATTTCATGATGAACAGTGGTGTTTTGGTTATCTGTGGCTTTGGAGTTGTCTATGGGTTTATGAACTGGTTTGGCAAAGCGTCTGGTGCTGCACGGTTTTTTGGGCTTCTGGGTTGTTGTAGACTTAGGGAGGCCTGGAGGTTGTTGTCCTGGGTCCCGATCAGCATGGGCAGAAGGAGACCTGTGAGTAAGGCCTGGAGTGAGGATGAGTGGATGGTCAGATGTTGGAGGTTCAGCAGTCTTCTGAGGTTCTTGGAATGTAGCAGCACCTGTGGAGAGACAGACAGATAAGAAACTTTCTAAAATCTTTCCTGCCTCTGTTAGGCATCTTTGGGATGTGTAGCTGCCTCCCCGGGAAGGTTCTTTAGGACACCACACTGTTTAACCCCATTCTCACCTCTAGCTGCTGAACTTTTGCTCAAACTGTACCTTGAGCAAAAATGTAGCCTTTCCTTCCCCAAATCCATTCCTGAATTTCACTCTCAGATCTGGCACCTCTCTTGGTTCTAGATCTAGTTGTCTCTCGTTGGTTGATATGGTCTCTCCCTCATACCCATGGCCATTGCTTAGACTCTGGTGGTCTTCCCATGGGCTGACACAGTCTCAGTCAAAAACATCGTTATCAACGCCTCCAATTATTTCACTTGCTTGCGTGCCTGTCAATATCCACGTCCTAACACACCTTCCTAGAACTCCCTTTGCGTGGAAGAGCTGAGAGGAAATTGAATCCATCTCAGAATCTTTGTGTTCCTGTAATATCCCAGTTCCATTCCAAGTGTGACAATGTGAGAAACTGAGGCAGACTCCTGGCAGAACTGTCCAGGTGGAGAGGTTGTGAGAGGAGGATAAGGGGGAAGAGGACTGGGGAGGAAAACGGAAACTTCCATTCTGGCAATGAACTTTGGTCTGAGTGGAGGGAGGCAGTCTAGCCCCTGGAGTCCACCCACATTGGGCCCCCCTCTTTGTGCACATGTCTGGGAATAGATGAGGGTGATAGAAAACAGTTTCTCCTGGCAGATCCTGACAGTGGAGAGCAAGGCCGCTGGATTCTGGGAGGGGTTCTGTTTAGGGACAGGGTGTGAAGGGAAACACACCTCTATCAGGGACGCGCCTTAATTCAATGAAGAAACGAGGGAGAGATGTGTCTCTGATTCTGACACAAGAGCAGGAGACCAGAGATTACCTCAGAGTAAAGAGACACAGCTGAGATCGTCAACGCCGTTGGCTCAGGGTGGTACCCGGGATCTGGACCCATTTCCAGCCATGGGAAACTGAGACACACACACACACACACACACACACACACACACACACACACACACCCGGCCAAGAGATTGGAAGCTCAGAATTCGGTCCTAGAGAGAAGCATGGGAAGAGAGGGCAAGGGCATGAGGAGAATAGAGACGCCCAAGTCCCAGGAGGGAACTGAGTTTACAGGTGTAAGGAGGAGGCCTCACTGTTGCTCCCCTCACTGCTCAGTGATTGGGAGCGCCATTTTCCAGGCACCACAGCGTAGAGCCAGACTGCCCCCAAAGGAGTTAAATGCTTAGTCCCCACCGGGCGTTGGTGGCTCACGCCTTTAATCCCAGCACTCAGGAGGCAAAGGCAGGCAGATCTGTGAGTTCCAGGTCAGCCTGGTCTATAGAGCCAGTTCCAGGACTGGTTCCATAGCTACTGATGAAAAACTCTGGCTTGAAAAAAACAAAAACCAAAGGCTGGAAGACCCAGGAGTGATATCTTCTGTGTTAAGTGACTTCCCAGAATGAATGTGTGAAAGGAAGATGGCTGGCTATCAAGTCCGGGGTAGGTGTCAATTTTTAAAAAAATATTTACTTATTTGGAGGCAAGTTCTCACGGCTGGACCGTGTAAACCAGGATGACCTTGAATTTTTGATCTTCCTGCATCTACCTCCCTAGTGTTAGGATTCCAGCTGTGCACCACCACAGTGCTGGGACCTTACTCAGGGCTTGGAGCATACTTGGCAAGAACTGTACCATTGTAGCTGCACCCCCAGCCCCCTCCCCGTTCCCACATTCCCCTGCCTGAAGTTCCCTGTTGTGATTTAATCTGGGTGCTGCCCCTGAATCTCTTGGACTTCCTCTGACAGGCTCTGGAGTTCTGTGCCCTGCCTGAGTCTGGGAACCAACAGGTCCCGTGGATAGATGCTGGGCCAGAACAGTACAGGGGCTTCACACACCCTGAGTGGTCTCTTCTCTCTCCTGATTTCTCTCTCCGTTGTACACCGTCGTGTGCCCCACCCTGGTCCAGCCTGTGCCCCCACTCCCCGGCTTGTCACCGTCTCACTCAGATGTGCCTGCATACCCTCCAGTCTCTCCCTGCATCCTGCCCCGCAAGCTCGCAACCTGCAAGCTCGCTCCCTGAGGCAAATCTCCAGGTGACTAGGGTGAGCGTGCTTCCCTGCGCCCCCTACTGGTTTGTTCCGCTTGTGCAGCGGCTTGACACCAGGTGGACCTCGACTGATACAGGGGAAGAGAAGCAGGTAGGGAAACTGAGGCTGGCTCCGGTGCTCTGCCGGAGGACCCTCTGGGTGGGAGCAGGGTCAGCAGCTCAAATGCCGACAGAGGTCTGTTAGAGGTGCTGAAAGTCTCAGCTCCCACCCCTGCCATCCTGTGGGACCCCAGCAAGACCCTGAGCTCAGGGCAGGAGCCCCAGCCTAGAGTCACCCCTAGTTGGGCCTATTGGAAGAAGATGCTGCTCACTGTGTCCCAGAAGCAGCCACCCCAAGATCTCTGGTTTGGGGGGGGTTCACATCTGCTAGAGATGTGGAAACTCTGCACTTTTGTTCACATGATAAAGACCCTCCTGTAAATGCCCAGACTGCCTCAAAGTGCCCCTGCATTCGGCATCTCTACCCCCGTCCCAGCATCGTCTTTTAACTAGTGAACCAACCTAGCATTGCCACCTCCTCCCCTAACATCTCTTATGAGAGGCAAACTTTTCTTATCCAAGTCTTGGGATGTGTTCCACCTATCAGATGGGGACAGAACCTCACTGAGCTGTCGTGAGGGTCAAACCACGCCTGGTGCAGAGTAGGTTGTACCCCAGCCACTGGCATAGGCTGCCAGCATCCTTCCTGCTGTACCATTGACAGGTAAGCTACATGGCTGGATCAAGTTAAAAAGCCGGGTCTGTACAGAACCTTCCGGACCACCCTGTGCTCTTGGCCACAAAGCTTGCCCTCCGCACGGCTTATAAGGGTAAGATGGATATTATTGTCCCTCTGGGGGATTAAGGAGACAGTGGGAGATGGAGTACTGTGAGCATCAATGGGTTCCTTACATGCTGTGAGTGCCCAGTGTGTGCCCCCTCGCTCACCTAGAACTAACGCCCACACGGTGTCTTTACACAGCTTGAAGCTCTGAGCAGGTGTAGCCCCTCAGACGTCCCAAAAGAAACACCGGGATTAGATCCCTCTCGTGCATGGCCTGGACACGCTAGGCTACTTCACGGCCATCCACACCACTGGCCTTCATTCATTTCCGTGAGTGCATCCAGCCCCGTCAATTCCGAGAAATAAGACCCTTTGTGATTTCTACCCCTCCCCATATAGCGGTGTCCCCTTTACCTCTCTGGGCATCTTACCTGCCTCCCAAGAAGCTGGGAGGAAGAAGAGGCAGCAGATGAAGCCAAAAGAAGAACAGAGGCCACTGGTCAGCTGAGCCATGTCAGAGCTGGGAGGCTGCTGAGAGACCATGGGCTGGGGGCCCTGTATCTTATAAGGGGTCAGGTTTGACGTCATGGGGGCTGAGGCTACTCTGAGCTAAGCCTTAAGCAAATGGAGCTGCCCCACCCATGGGGGCGCCCTGATAATGGGAGACCGCAGCTGTGTCATACAGCTGGGTCCCTGGGTTCCACCAAAGGGCTGGGATCTGAGGACATGGAAAGGACCTGGGTGGGGTAGCCAGCCTGCCTTCTTATCCAGCCTCTGCAGAAAGAGTTAATGGCTTGTATGGGGTGGCCTGCAGGCTCTGAGCCAATGCTCATGTTCTAGAAGGTTTGGACGGGGCACAGGACAGGTCCAGGCTCTGGGAGGAGGCACATACTCACCCTCCTGTTTCTCTGTCGTCATCCAGCTCCACACCCCTTACTCACACATGGCCACACTTTCTGCCCTGGGTGGAGTGTCCCCAAGACCAGGTGAAAGAGCAGAGAAGGGGGCAGCCCTCCCGTGGTCCACTGCACACTCACAGCTGCTTTCAGATGTGTCAGGTAATAGCTGAGACAGGGACAGGGACAAGACAGGCGGGGAACCCTGGGACTGACATCATTAGTCTAGCCTTTGGGGACATCTGTCCTGCCTACCCCTCCCCTGCCATCCCAGCCCAGCGGCTGCCTCTGCCTCAAGGCTGCATCTATCCCTGCTTAGAAATGTGCCCCTCCTATTGCTACAAGTTCCAACCACCCCCTCATTTTCCCCCTTGAAAGGTCTCAGTTGTGGGGCTCAAGAGAGAATCACCTGCATATCCCCTTTAACCCCGTACCTGAGACTTCACTCATCCCCCATCTAAAGCAAGCATCAGCTTAGAGACCAGCTCCAGTGGGGCTCTTAGAGAGAGGAGCCCCTACACTTCCCTAAACCTAGTTTACTTGTGAGCACCCCGAGGCAATGTCTTTGTCCCCATCACATCCATAGCCCCAGACAATGCCCAACATGCAGGAGACAGCCAGTCAGTGGTCCTTTACCAGCGTCAGGAATGTGGCTCAGTGGAGAGCACTTGCCTGACATGCACAAGGCTGTGGGCTCAGAGTCCAGCACCCCAAAAACTGAGAGTCTCCTGGTGAGTTGGAAGCAGGGCTGTTGCTCCCTGAGGGAGGTAGGCAGCAGAGGGGGTAGAGTGACCTGAGGTCTCCAGGTAGGAGGCCTGGAGTTGGGCCTCTGGGGCTCATGAGGAATAGTGGTCTGGTATGACTGGTGCTACACCCTTAGGCAGGGCTCGATCAGGAAAGGGCAGAAGAAGCCAACTGCCCATTAGCTCAATTAATGGGAGATTAATGAGCCTCTGTAGTTGTGCCTGAGACTGATGGCTCAGAATGGGGCAGGGTGTGAAACAAAAGTGCAGCCTCCAGGGTGTGGAAACTGAAAACAGAGAGAGACAGACCTTTCCCTGAGGCTCCATCCAGACTCCTTTCTTCTAACCCATTCTTCCTCTAAGGTTCCAACCCCAATACACTGTGAGAAGGGCCAATTTTGCCTCCCCCAGAGAGATGCTGCAATTCTAGGAGCCATCCGTGCGAGATGCAGGCTGCTGGTATCTAGAAGGAGGTGGCTAGAGATGCTATTGGCCCCTGGTATGGCTTGGAACACCTTCCAGATTGATGAATCACCAGCCTGATGTGTCAATGGTGCCAGGGGCAAGGATTCCTGTTTTAGAATAAGCTTTCAGCCAGTGCTTGTGAACAAATCCCCTCCTCCCACCTTTGGCCACAATTCACAGAAGACCCAGGTGTCTAGAGAAGAGCCTCTTGGGGTATTTTTGTTTTGTTTTGTTTGTTTGTTTTTTAGTTTGGTTTTTCAAGACAGGGTTTCTCTACGTTACAACTCTAGGTGTCCTGGAACTCGCTCTGTAGACCAGGCTGGCCTGAAACTCAGAGATCTGCTTGCCTCTGCCTCCTGAGTGCTGGGATTAAAGGCATGGGCCACCACTGCCCGGTGCCTCTCAGTTTTGGGGTTTGTTTGTTTGTTTGTTTTGGTTGCTTCTTTTTAAAAACAATTTACTAGGTGCCATTCTTTTAAGTTTGCTTTATTATGTGTGTATGGGTGTTTTGCCTGATGTGTGTCTATGTGGTTCACTTTTGCACAGTGCCCATGGGAGTAACAATAGACAGTTGGAGCCCTGAACTGGATTTACAGACAGCTGTGAGTTATCATGTGGGTGCTGGGAACTGAACCCTCGTCCTTTGGGAGAGCAGCCAGTGTTCTCAACCTCCCTAGCCCTATCTTCTCAATTTAGTTTTTTTTTAATTTTTTTGTTTTACTTGGCTTAATATTCTCTCTCTCTCTCTCTCTCTCTCTCTCTCTCTCTCTCTCGCTCTCTCTGTGTGTGTGTGTGTGTGTGTGTGTGTGTGTGTGTGTGTGTGTGTGTGTGTGCCTGTGTGTGTGTTTTGCTTTGAGACAAGGTGTCCTGAACTCCAAACTGGACTTGATTTTGCTATGTAGCTGAGAATGACCTTGAACTCATGATCCTTCCTCCTCCACTTTCCATGTGCTGGGATTACAGGCATGCACTACCATACCTGGCTATTAAATTGTTTTTTTTTTTTTTTTTGGTTTTTTTTTTTGTTTTTTTTTGATCTAGGATCTTGGTATCTTGTCTTGGTTGACCTGGAACTCACTATGAAGGCCAGACCCACCTCCAATTCGTGCGTGGTTGTCCTGCCTCTGCTGCTTCGGTGCTGAGGTTACAGGAAGAAACTACCATGCCTGGCTCAAGATGGCATCTTACGGTCAAAGAGGTGACTTTGAGTAGGACACAGAGGAGCCAGTCACCGGAGCCTGGTGACTCAGGGTGGCCCAGCATCTCTGTGTACATTAAACATCTCACCTGTGAGAACTGATGAGGTCAGCAATGCCACCTTGCTTTTTCCAGAGGGCAAATGGCTCTTAGCCAGCTCAGCCCTACCCCTCATGAGCCTTGCTGGCTGGCAGCCTGATGGTGGCAGTGTAAGAGGTCACCACTGCACCCCAAACTCATCTCCCTCAGAACTGGCAAGTCTGTGAGATGAAAAATGGATAGGATGTCAGGACTGGAGAAATGGCTCGGAGGTTAAGAGCCCTTGCTGCTCTTCCAGAGGTCCTGAGTTCAATTTCCAGTAACCTCATGGTGGCTCACAACCATCTGTAGTGAGATTTTGGTGCCCTCTTCTGGTGTGCAACACACCTGAATACTGTATACATAATAAATCTTTTTTTAAGTGGATAGGATGTCCTAATCAGGGGGCCTGGGGGCCAGCTGCCCAGCTCTTGGCTCTTGCTGTGGAGTATTGCTTCCTGTGACAACCCAGGCCCTCATAGCAATAGAACTGCTTGTCCAGCACGATTGATGCTTCACGAATGCACACAATTGATGCTCTCAGAATCCTCTCACCCATGGCTCAGCAACCTCTGTGAAGAGCGTGCCCATATCACCAGACTTCAGTGGTGATTAGCACCAGCCACACATCGGCACCAATTAACAGTTATTATTGAGCTCATTGGTAAAAGTGTTTGCCAGGCAAGCATGAGGGCTTAGGTTCCATGTCTGTCACCCACATAAAAAGTCTGGCAGAGGGGCTGGAGAGGTGGCTCAGAGGTTAAGAGCCCTTGATTCCCAGCACCCATATGGTAGCTCACAACCGTCTGTAACTCTGGTTGCAGGAGGATCTGACACCCTCTTCTGGCCTCTGAGAGCACTGCACACATGCAGGCAAAACATTCATCGGCATAAAATAAAAGCAAAATCTCAAAGGTGGAAGGTCCCCAGGGCCCAGATTTCCCACCTGGAAAGCCACTGAGGCTGGGACATTAAAGATGCCTCTTGACTGGGGCAGGTGAGGCCTCACCCACCCCCTCCCTTTGTGGCCTACATTCCAGAGCCCTTCTCTGGCAGGAATGATGACAGCTAAGAACAGTTAATCATTAATCCCTCAAGAACCACGGAGGGGCCCAGGTTTAGGTGGGGCCTGACACCTGCAGGAAGGCCCCCTCTTGTTCCCACCCCTCTCTCTTCAGAGATCTGAAGCAAACAATGGGGGGAGGGAGCTACCCTCTACATTACCCAGGAGCCAGTGAGTGGCCCTCTCCAGAGTCATGGGAACCACTTTGGGAGAATCCACTTGCCATCTCTCTTGATGCCCCAACACCAGCAGCAAGGGCCCTGGAGTTAAGAGAGGCCATTTCGACATATCTTCTGCCATCAGAGAAGTAAGGTAGCCACAATGGGGTCTCCGATGCCCCTCCTCCTCCTCCTGGCCCTCCTCTACAGCTCACAAGCAACAGGTGAGGCTTGGAGGGTGGGCATGGAGGCGAGAGAGGGGAGGGGATTCCTTGGCACGGAGCCTGATCTGGAATAGCACTGGAGTCTGGGGGGATGTGGGACATGCCTCCTTGGTGGGTAACACCACCCTGACTGCAGGGTCTTGAGTCACATTTCTGGGTTCCCAGGGCCAAAGGTGACTTTGAAAGTAAAGCTGACAGAAGTTTTCCAGGCCAAGGTCTCCCAGGACTCCAGCTTTCTGGACTTGCTCCAAAAGGTATTTCCGAGAAAGGGGACATCGGTTCTGTGCGCGTCTCTGAGTCCCTGGGGGTCTGTGCGCGGGCTGGCTGAGCTGAGCGGGGAGTGGGGAGTGGGGTGCCCTCAACACCTTGTCCTCTACTCACTTTTGCTTCCCCAGATCTGCCTCCTCCTCCGCCTCCCGCCGGGGGCCAACATGACCCTCCATCACAAAGGGTCACCACACCATCTAACCTGTAGAACCTGAGGGCGGCTGAGCCTGTGTGGGCCTCGAGCACAGGCTTCCGGGAGTGGGCACTGGGAGTGAGCATGCCTTGATGGAGCAGGCTCTTGCCCTGCTGAGTGCTAATAAACACGTGGGATCTAATGACTGGCTTGGTGTGTCCAGTGGGGTCTGTGAGCACAGGGCAGACAGGACAAGGAGCTGCATGCCAGGCTCTCTAACTGACTGACTCTCCCTGTACACCACAGAGGCCTGGAGTATGAAGAGTGAGGTAACTTACAGACAGACAGATGAACAGACAGACAGACAGACAGACACATACACACAGATGGACACACACACACACACACACACACACACACACACACACACACAGAATGCCTATCCTGTTGTGGTCCTCTTTGTCCCCAGCTTTTCCGTGTGATGGCCGTGGCAACCCTGAGCACTCTGCCACATCGTCTCCTTTTACAAGAGAAAACCCAGGCTTGGAGGGCTTGCTCTCCTGAAGTCCAATAGCATCGAGGAAACCAGGCACCATGCAGAGGCCTTAGCTTAAGCAGGGTTTGAATTGCAGCCCTTCGTCCTAAGTTTGGGGCTGTAGGCCCAGGAACCCCTAGGAATGTGGACGGAACATCTCAGGGTCCTGTGTGGCCTGCACGACTGGTCAGTGGGGAAGGCAGGGTAGAGGGAGCTGAGAGGGAAGTGAAGAGCACAGCTGAGAAGCAGCCAGCAAGTCCCAGTGCTGGGGGAGGGGGGGCAGCCTTAGAGGAGTGTGTGACGCCTGTTACCCGGACCTGGGATCACAGGCACCCTAGAAGGGTCGGTCCTCTCCAAGCTTCTATTCGTCCACAAGATGGGGATGGTGACATTGCCTGTATCCTCTGAGAACACTGTGGGTAAGCTCTGGAGGGACTTTCCACACACAGAACCTGTCATGCTGTTGGTGGCACATTTGGGACAGACGGATGCCAGACCCAGCCTTAATGGTTCAAATCTTCTCAGGAGATCCAGAGTCTTCTTCCTGTTTTTACTGACTTCCTCCCTCAAGATTATCTTGAGATGGGCTTAGCAGCTCACGCCTTTCATCCCAGCACTCAGGAGGCAGTTAGATCTCTGAGTTCAAGTCCAGTCTGGTCTACAAAGTGGAACTCTGCCTCAAAAACAAACAAGATAAATTATCTTGGCTTCTCACTGACTAAATCTTGTAGCTTAGACCTGATCGACCCCTTGGGAGTGTTGAGATGACTGCTACTATCCTCCCCAGTCCCCGCCCATGCCACCATCACCCCATCTAAGAGCTGGCTCCTGTGGAGGTGCAGGGTACTCCAGAGAGAACATCTCTGAAGATGAGGAAGCATGGAAGGGAAGGAAACAGGAGTAGAAATTTTGCCTTGCCTATTTGCTTTCTAACTGTCCTGGAACTTGTAGCATCAAGAAGAGCTAACCCACAGGTCCCCAGTGGCCCCCAGTGTTCTGCGACCTGCCCTTGGACTGCACCAGTAGGGAGGTGGTCCCTATGGGTCAGGTGTACATACTCCAGACCAGCTGGGGGCTCAGGCCTGAGGAGTGGACAGTCGTCAATTCTTCCACCCAGCTCCTAGAGCTCAAGACTTGTGGTCACCAGGTGTCCTTTCCAGCTTTCTTTCCTAGAATAGTAGAGTGGAGATAATGCCTTGGGGTTCACCATAGCTGTGAGGGGGAGCTGGAGGGACATATGTAGACAAGGAAAATAAAAGCACTGAGATGGGGGCTTCCCCCCCCCCAACACTTTGGTTTTTCGAGACAGCATTTCTCTGTGTAACAGCCGGGGGATCTCCTAGAACTCACTCTGTAGACCAGGCTGGCCTCGAATTCACAGAGATCCGCCTGCCTCTGCCTCCCAAGTGCTGGGATTAAAGTCCTGGGCCACCACTGCTGGGTGGAATGGGGGTTTCTTATTCCCAGAAGATATTTCAAGGAGAAATGCCAGGAAGGCATGGAGATGGGGTTTCTAAATAGGGCCAATAGGTGAAAGGGGGAGGACCCAGGGACCCTCTACAATTCCCAAGCCAGCTTCCTGTTAGTTTCCTGCTTCTGCTGCCTGGTCTTCTGTCTTTCTCTGATGTTCAGTTCTCCAGGGGGCACACTCAGCAACCCATGTATGGCCAGCAGCACCCCGATAACATTTTATCGGGCACCTTGTCCAGGATTTGAGAAAACTTCAAGGTAGGATATACCCGCCTGAAAATCACCAGGACTCGGAAGTAGCACATTCATCTAGCACTCCAAGGGTCCCTTCTGAGCACGGGGACACCCTGACCAAGACCAGCTGATGGGAGCCCTAGTCAGTCCCACCTCCTCCAGGAGTAAGGATTCGCCCGGCCGCTTTGAACTCCGTGGCTACACTGAGATCTCTCTCTTAGAGCCGGGGGGCGGGTTAAGCAAACCACTCCTAAGCAGAGATGGAACAAACCAGACTCCTAGGCCCTGGGGAGGAAGGGTTGGAGAGGACATGCTCCCCACTCAGCACACCTGAGAAAGGGCCATGGGGCAGGTCCTTAGCTTTCTCATCTGCCTGGCTCTCAGGCCCTTGAGCTAAGTGTAGGGACCTGGGAGTGGGCTGTGGGGGGGGGGGCAGGGAAGACTTGCTCAACTTTTTAATCTGTGCGCCCCTGCCTGGAAAGAGGCTTCAGCTGGGGATACAGGCAATGAACTCTGGGTTCTCTGAAGAGCTGAGCCATCTCTTCTGCCTGCCTCTACTGCTTCCTAAGCTGTTGTAGCTTAGGAAAATTCAAAGCAGTCTTGAAATTTTCTGAGGTAGAGGAAAGTGATGGCAAACTCACTTTGAGTTGGAAGTCCCTGAAATTCAGGTGGAGACAGCCACAGGTGAGCAGTTCCGTGGGGGTGGGGGTAGGAAGGTTTTGCTGGATGCTGGAACCCTGAGGGGCTTTTGTTGTTTGTTCAGAACCCACATGGCTACCGCTGAGCTAATAGAACAAGTGACCTCCCCACCCATACCCTATCCTCTAAACCAGGATCTCCCCACTCCAGGCAAGACCCCACCCCTATCTCGTGTGTGTGTGTGTGTGGGGGGGGTTACTCTCGCCTGGCCTTGCTGAAGACACTGAGCTTTGAGGATCTAAAGGCTATGGGAGAGTGGAGTGCTGGAGGAAACAGAGCAAGAGCAGGCTGTAGGGCTGTGGGTGGGGTTCAAGGGTTGAAGGCTTGCTTAGACTTGCACAAGGCCCTGGGTTCCATCCCAGCACTGGGTCTGCAGCCCCCCAGGGTCAGATTCTGGCCAAGCTGCTGAGCTCAGCCTGCTGGAGTTGAGGGTGCCACCGGCTCTTTCCACCTTGCATCTCCAGGCTCATTTTTCTGTTTCTCTAGATCACAGGTACATGTGGTAAATGGTTCACCCCAAGTGCTGAGCTTGCTTACAGATTATAAATTTGAGGGGGAAAGAAAGTTAAATGAAATGTTTTACTTTTGCCAGGCGTTGGTGGCACACACCTTTAATCCCAGCACTCTGGAGGCAGAGGCAGGCGGATCTCTGTGAGTTCGAGACCAGCCTGGACTACAAGAGCTAGTGCCAGGACAGGCTCCAAAGCCACAGAGAAACCCTGTCTTGAAAAACTAAAGGAAAGGAAAAAACAAGTGGTGAATTTTATATAGGGGAGATGATTCACTAATCTGAACAAGCTCCCCCCTTTCTGTTTTGGTCCTACTGAGAAAGGAGAGGGTACAGGTACTCATACCAGGCCAGTAAAATCTCAAAAGGATGCTCTGGAGCAGGAGACAAGATCTGGAAGATGTTCCAGTGTCTCTAGTCTACAGGTGGCCGTTATCGGCAGAGCATCCCGTAGACTACCCTTACTGGGGTGGGTCTCTGTGATCGTGGGTCTAAGAAAGGAACACCTGGTATTTTTCTGTGCATAGAGCTGACCTCAATATGAACTGGAGGACTTTTTTGGAAACGGCTTCTAGTAGGAAATATCAGTAAACAGTAAAAGTAGATCCTGGCATGGACGAGAGTGAGATGGGCCAGTTCCTTGCTGTGAAGTCTGAAAGTCTGTTGCAGATTTGCTAAGCACTTCAGTTTCTGCTAGGGGTGGTCAATAAAGGAGGTGCTTTCTTCAGGGCAGCCCTCAGGAGCAACAGGGGCACAGTTAGTGTAGCAGGGACCACTCACTCCTGCAGGGTCGGGAGAATGAGGGGTTAGTGCCCGGGCTCCTTGAGCACCCACCGCCGGCGTTCTCTTTGTAGGTTCCGGTTTACAGTGGCTAGAGGGGAACACAGCTTCCAGCCTGACTGTCCTGTTCACCACGCCTCCCCCACCTCAGATACCATCCCTTGGCCAGCCTCTGGCCTGGTCTCTGGTCCTCCGGAGGTTGGAGGATGTATCTCGACTGTAACGAGGTCCAGCGTGTCCCTTCAGGGCCCTTGGTTGTGCTGTTGACTCTTCTATCAGTGGGACTGGGACTACTTCCCTCCCAGTTGGATAACTGCCCCTCCAGGACCCACTCAGTGGATTACTGCTTTCTATCTTAAGCCCCTGGCCTCATGAGGAAGTCAGTTTCTCCTGGTCAGTGGGCAGAGTGGCAGGCAAATGCTCTGGTCTGGATGCCGGCCCCGCATGTCTGAAACCTTGCTGGCAGATGTTTCAGTGGCACTAGTGTCAGGTGTGGAGCTTGGGTAACCAGTTCTCTCCAAAAAGGTCTCCGGCCTGGGCATCTGGGGACCAATCAGGAGGTGGGCACCAGAGGTAAACCTGGAGGACCAGGGATGCCTGACGGTGGGAGAGTAGTCTTGTGAAGTTTCGGAGCACTGGCGAAGAACCCATGGCCATTTATTCTCCTTTGCTAGAGCCGTGTAAACTTTAGCTGGGAGCCTGGCTTCTGATGAACACCTCCCTGCCTCCCTCTGCAGCTAGCTTGGCTATGTGATATTGTATTCACCAGGATGCAAGCGGGAAGTGTTAAATGCCTTCTAGGAAAGGGAAGTCCAGCCCTTCAAAGAGCCCCCACCGTGCTAACCTCTCAACATGC